TGAGTACCCTTGAGTATAAAGGAGTATAACTAGAACTCTAATTGGAAAAAAAAATAAAAGAAAGAAAAAGAAAGCTTAAAATTCCTTATATGAAGGGTTAAGGGTGTACCCTCAATGTTACCATTTGTTAGCCTGTGCTAACAAATGTCAGGTCCTGGGTTCAGTCCCCAGTGCCCTCCAAAAAACCACAAAACCGAACAAACAAAAAAGCCCTATCTGTAAAAACTAATATAATAAGAACGTCAAAGTAAGCTCATCTGAATAAAAATATTTTATGAAAATTATAAAATCTAAAACTAAAAGAAAATATCAGTATATGTGAGATATAGTCAAATGAGTAGTTCTGAGGAATTTTACAATTATTTTCCGCTCAACTACTATGCTTCCAAATCTGTTTTCCTCAGATTAACGTAAGAAATCTTAAATTTCCTTTACAGATTAACATAAGAAATAGAGATTGAGGAGGATCCTGGACAACTCCCAAACAAGAATCTGACTCTAGTCCTGGGGCACACCTGTGATCCCAGCAACTGGACTTAAGAAGCTGAGGCAGAAGGCTCGTGACCAGCTTAGGCAATTTAGTGAGATCCTGCCTCAAAATAAGGATGTAGCTAAGTAGTAGAGCATTCCTGGATTCAATTCTCAGTTCTACCACTGGAAGGAAGGAAGGAAAGAAGGGAGGAAGGAAGGAAAGGAAGAAAAAAAAAAATCAAGGAAAAGTTTGACTCATTATCCAGATCTGAACATAAAAGTAAGGGCAAATTAAGGAAATAACAATTTCAACAGGATATCTTACATGTTTATCTTTCCTTTCTATAACATCTTGTTTCTGTTTGCATTTTTGAGATGTCTCTTTAATGTCTGTTGCCTGTAAGAACCAGGAGGGAAAAAGGTAATTAAAAACTCAAATCAGCATGTGGCTCTACCCATCCAAATAATGTTATATGAGTTAACTCACAACAGTACTTTCTCAATTTATTTCTCAATTTATTTATTTCAAATTCATAATATCACAACATATATAAACAGTATAGAAATCTACAAAAGGTTATTCCAAACAATATTAAAAATAGCTAGAGAATATGCATAGATATCTATCAGGCCAGATATAGTGGTACACACTGGTAATCCCAGCTACTTGGGACGCGGAAGAAGAATGATAAAAATTGAGCGCAAAGCTATCTCCAAATAAAAGGGTTGGGAATGTAGCTCAGTGGTAGAGCACTTGCCTAGCATGTGTGAGAAAAAAATGTAGACTGATTTAATATGCCACCTCAGAATCCAAGAGCACTTCTTCAGGAAAATAATTTTAAAACATTAGGCTATATAGATTTCTACAAAAACAAATTAGGCAAAGAGATAATGACAATGTCTCAATAGCTAGGCTTCTGTTATAAAAGATAAGTGAAACAAGGGTTTTAAATATGATACTTTAGAGACTTGGAATTTATTGTCCACGTTTTTTTTTTTCCACTATAAAAAAAAATTTAGTAGAAACATCAATTCTGGAACCAAAACAAACAAACAAACAAACAAACAATAACAACAAAAAAAAAAACCCAAACAATTATAAACCCAAGTGTATGGTTTAGATGTGGAATGTCTCCCAAAAGCTCATGTGTTCAAGACTTGATCCCCAAAACAGTAATGTCCAGTGGGGCTTTTAGGAAGTGGTTGGATCATAAGAACTATATAATTTCATCAGTAAATTAATCCATTTGATAGGTTAATATTATGAATGAACTACTGGGAGGAGGTGGAAACTTATGCAGGTAGGGCATGGTTGAAAGTAAATTACTGAGGGATGTGCCCTGGGACCATAGCTTATCTGTGGGCCTTTCCTTGCTCTCCACCTCTCTCTATGGTTCCTTGCTGTCAAAAGTTGAGTGGCTTTCCTTAGTTATACCCTCTTCTGCTATGATGTTCTCTCACCTCTGGACAAAGGCAAAGAAACAGGTCAACCATGGACTGAAATCACCGAAATTGTGGGTCAAAATAAATCTTTTCTCCTCCAAGTTGTTTTGTGTCATGTATTTTGGTCACAGTGACAAAAAGCTGATTAATACACACACCCTAACTATAACCAATCACCACAAACATGACACTGACTGATATTTATTAGTTCTAAATTCTTTAAGAAGACATCTTTGAGATTTAGTATCCTTAACTATGAAGTGAGAATACTTTTCTAGATAAAAGTATCTATAATCCTTTCTTGCTCTCAAATTTGAAATGATCAATAGGGTTCAGTACTATTTGCACTTTCAGGCATTCAAAGTGAAGTCTTGGAACATATACCCCCTGAGATAAGGGAAAATTAATACATTTGGAAAGCAGGAATTTAAACCATTCTCAAAATAATCTCTGACCCCAAAGTTCCTTTAAAGGTTAAGTCATGACCATAAAGGTTATACTTTTAAAACACAAGTAATGACTATATTATTTACTCCAACAAATAACAGATTTTCTGTATCATTTTCCTCCAAAAGGGTGTATAATTACAAAACAGAGATAACAAATTCACAAAAGGAGTTCAATGTTTCTAGAAATACTATTATAAATCATTTTGTAATTAAAACAATCAGATTTTATTTTTCTTTTTATATCTTGGAATTTCTATAAAGTAGCAATCCTTCAACAGTAACAAGCTCTTGAAATCCCTATCGTAACTCCTAGTTAAAGAAACAAAGTAATAAAATTTACAAGTAAATTAAAAATATTTTGAAATAGCTGAAAATAATATTTGCTAAAATAAAATTCAGATAATGCAAAACTGAATAAGCAAAGTACCTTTTCTTTGATTAGAGCCTCCAAATTATGGCGTTGCCTTTCAATTTCCTCAATCCGACGTGTCATAGGAATCTGTCCTTCTTTAAGTTTTCTGACCTCTTCCTTCATTTGGTCACGGGCTAGTTTTACTTCTTCATATTCCTGACGAACATTTTCATATTCCTTGCAAATAATTCAAGAAATAAAGTTAATGCACTAATCAGCTTAAACCAATACATATTCTAAAATCAAGGTACAGGCAGGAAAAAAAAATCTAAAAAATATTTTGTCACTAAAATAAGATTTTCCTCTAATCTCTCAGGTAAGAAAGGATTTATCAATATATAAAGAAACAAAAGAAACAATTCTGAAAGGTAAAAATGAAAGAAAATTACAGAAGAAAAATAGGTCAAAGAAAAATGAAAAGAAGCATGTTGCTAGTTAGTTGGGTAAAAATGACACTCTTCATGTCACAAGAATTAATAAATATTTGGTGAGAAAATTTATAAGTGGAGGGCTAATACAGTATATACAGAAGAATACAAATATTCATTAGAGTAAATAAAAAAAGAAGAAAATTTTTAAAAAGACTGAGGAAACTAAGACTTCAGAAGATAATGTCAGTGAAAGAAAAATAAGAGACACAGGGAAAATGCAGTCAAGAAGAGGAAAATAAAGGAAAAAAATTAAGAATAATGGAATTATGAAATGCAGGGGAGTGATACCACAAATACAATGATATTATTGTTTATAATAATAAACAATAAATAAAGGGATGCTCAAACTATCAGCTTTACACTTCTTTTGGGGGGCGGGGTGCATACCAGGGATTGAACCCAAAGGTGCTTAACCACTAAGTCACATCTCCAGCTTTTATTTACATTTTTTTTTTTTAAAGAAAGAGTGAGAGAGGAGAGAGAGAGAATTTTTAATATTTTTTTTTTTTAGTTTTTGGCGGACACAACATCTTTGTTAGTATGTGGTGCTGAGGATTGAACCCGGGCTGCACGCATGCCAGGCGAGCGCGCTACCGCTTGAGCCACATCCCCAGCCCGTATTTACATTTTATTTTGAAACGGTCTAACTAAATTGCTTAGGGCCTCTCTAAATTGTTGAGACTGGCTTTGAACTTGCAATCTTCCTGCTTCAACCTCCCAAACCACTGGTATTACAGGTGTATACCACCACATGCAGCTCACTTTTTAAAAAATCTAATATTATTTCCAATCTAACTTCTGAAAAAACACTAGGAAACTTTCCTTACTTATTTTGTTCCACCTATGGAGGAACATTAATCTTTAGTCCATAATGTAGACTTAGGTATGAAATATATCACACTGTGATTAGAAAAAACACAGTAGCCTCAGGAAAATTATGAAACATGAGTAGAGAACTTTAGTTAAGATATTTCAGCTACATTTGTAGCTGAATTTTTTATCAGTGGCATATCTCAAGTAAGTTTTTAATGACCTAAGAACATTCAAAGATTTAATGTTTTGACATACATAAATCTTTTTAGATCTAATATTTTGAAAATATCAAAGAACTAGCTTTAATGAACCAAAATCTGAAAGAATTAATACTGACTCAACTGACATTTTTTATAAAACAACTAGCACACATCTATATTATAAAGAGTAAGAGAGGTATAAATTGTAATATGTATACTATATAAAGCAAAAAATAATTTGAACACATAATTAATGCATTCTTTATAACTATTCCACTACTTAAAGATTCACCAATTTTGCCTCTGTAATAATTAAGACTTACCACCCATGGCCGTTTTGCTTCAAGCATCTCAATTAAATCTAAGTGTCGTTTCCTTTCATAGAACCTCTCGACATCTTGTTTATATCTTTCATTCCTCTGAACCATTTTCTCTAGATATTCAGTTTTTTCTTTGCAAGAAGTCTAAAATAAATATTTGTTGAACAATCAGTTTAAATAAAAAAAAAAATGACAACAGGTCAAATTTTTTAACAATGAAAAATAATGCCAGCAAAATCTCACAATAAAAAATTTTGCAGGCACTTTATAAGAGCTATCTTACAGGGGTAGAAACAATTCACTTAATACATGTTTGAGCATTCCTTATACAAAATGATTGGAGCCAGAAGTGTTTGATTTCATAATTTTCAGATTTTGAAATATCTGCATAGATGTTACCAATTAAGCATCGCTAATCCCAAAACCCCAAATTCAATACTCCAAAATCTGAAGTTTTCTGAGAACCAATATGACACTCAAAAAGCCTTGAATTTGCAGCATTCAAATTTTGGATTAGGGATGTTCAAACTATCAGCGTTATACTGTGAATTAACAAATACAAAGATGCACTCAGAACATGGTAGAATATATGATCATTTTTCTCTCAAAAGATGGTAAGTTAGAGGAGTATTTCAGGTGGGAGTAGTAGATTGATGTGAAAAAAGGTAAAAGAATTAAAGGAGTATCTCAAGTAGGATAAAATAATTATAAAAACTTCAAAACAGCTCCTTTGGTCATTCCCTCTTAATTTGTGCAAAAAAAATAACATTTTATTACAATAAATACATATTACCAAGTACAGACAATTATATTTGAACAGAAAGTGTCTGTTTATAAGAGTTCTCATTATGAAAATGTATTTATTTATTTTAGATGAAGGGATATGGCTAAAGATCTATTAAATAAAATACCTTTACAAATATTATGCCATAAAGAATATTTTTATTTATAAATTTCTTAAAGATGAAAATACTTAACACTGCAACTAAATGTTTAGTTCTCTTAAAATACAGAGAAAGCTGGTTCGACAGAGGTGTTATATTAAATACAACATTTACATTTGCTGTATTACCTAAAAACTTTCATGGTTCCTGACACATGGAAGATATTTAGTAGGTACTGACTCAATGACAAAATATCACGATTTCCTGAGGGAAAAATACAAAATGGTGCTACTGGTTTCTTAAAAACTCAATTAATAACAAGTATTGCTGTTAAATTTTCAAACTTTTATTCCTAAATGAAAATACATCTTAGACTGTTATCAAATTAATATTTAAGTGTGTTTTGTCAGCAGAGAGTAAATACTCAGAACACATTAATGTTTGGACAACAGCTTGAATGAAAACAAGTCTTCAAATTGTCAAACTTTACAATATCAAATCCATTCTCCTTTTTTGTCATTTAACTGATGTCATTATCCTGGGTTAAAAAAAAATCACAAATATGAATTCAATTAATGAACAGAACTATTACTTACTCTTCTACAGTTCATAACATAGAAATCAATAAGGGACAACAGACATGAGTTGTATATTTATAAATACCTCCAGCTGTTTTTCTTTCTCCCTGAAGTTTTTGAGTTCACAGTGATACCTGTGCATTTCTGGAGGACCAATTGACTTCTCAGTAGCTTCAAGTAGTTCTATTTTGCTGAGTTTTGCAAATTCTCCTACTTTGTCCTAGAGCATAAACATTAAATATCAGCAACTTGATTAATTTATAAATATCTTTAAAATGTGTTTTATTCAGTGATTACACTTAAAACTTTGAGATATGAGTCTCATATAAACATGTTACATATTATTCTTTAATAAAGACAACACAGCAGAAATGATCATCTTTTTGGTAACTTTTAAAACATTTCTATGTCAATAATTTATAGGATGAAATTACATGGATCATAAACAGATTATGGATAAAAGAGAAAAATAGTCTCCTGAACTGAAGTGATCACTATTCACATATCAGGTGGAATGTTCCAAGTTTAGAAAAAATAAAAGGCAATTTCAAATATCTACTTTTGAGACAGTCTGACATGAGCTGATAAATGAAAAAAACTTTTAGATTTTACGACTTAACTTAAGTTGGACTTATTTAATTAAACCATTATGTTTCTGAAGAAAATGAATAATGCTGTCACTAAACAGCATTCAAAGACAAATGTAAAAGGTATTTAACATCCATTATCAGGATTTTTAATTCTTAAATAAATTTAATATATAACAAGATTTTAGAAGGTACACATACAAGAGTTTTAGTATATTCAATATTTTATACAAACACCTTGATTAAAAAGCTGTTTACTGACAAAATTTAGGTTCTACAAATGAAGCACAAAGCTACTGAAACTACTCTGTACTTAAAAATAATACACTTAAACTAAAGTGACTGAGCAACTGAGATTTTTTTTATTAACTGAAATTAATAACATTATGCTATAAGTGGTAAGAGTTCTTTCACAAAGAACTATTAGTATTAAAGTACTATGTGTTCAATGTAAATGATAATCATTATAATATCTCTTGGAAAATATTTCTATTCTCATATGGCATAAAGAGTAAATTCTAGAAACAGAATTTCCTCATTTTTACATTTACTTCTACCATACCTGAGGTAGAAACTGGCAAAGATTGCCCACTTGAATATTTAAGGCTGCAACTTGTTCTTCAACCACTTTCTGGGTTGTAGATTTTTTGTTGATGAACCAAAAGGACTGATTTTTTGCCACATCAATCTCACGGGTGATTATAAGATTTCCAGAAGTCCTGAACCTGATTAAAGAATAATTTTTAAATATTTATTATCAAAATACATTATTTAAGAAATAAAATTTCCGACACTCTTGTTCACCAAAGGTACCATAAAGGATTATTATGATTTTTTTATTCCTTCTGATATTTTGACCCCTCCCAATAAGGAAATCTTGACATTTTATTAGTAGTAAAACCATAACTGGCCACGTGTCAATTACTACTTATTCAACAATTTAAAATTTTAGCAAAACAAAATTAAAATTCAATATTAATTCACAAACACTACCAGAGGAGTTGCATATCTAGAGTTATTTATCCTTTAAAAATAGTTATGCTATTCTTTTATCAAATGCATTGACTGCATTTCAAAATGGGCCGATTTATATAAAAGCATAACAGTTAAACCTTGAAATATTCCCTAGTTGGAAAATGTTAAAAAATGAATACTGACTCTTACATGAGCATTTCTAGAAATCAAAATTAGCCTGCCCATACAGGTAGCTCATGGCTTCTTCACCAAGTACTCTTCTCTGAATTCAGAGGGAATTATATTAGATGGCTACAAAGAACATTAAGCAACATAGAATCGGAAAGAAGGGTATTTACTTATTTCTTGCTTTTAGAGGTACTACTGCTCCACACCTCCCATCTATTCATCCATCTTCTTCACTGGGAATCAGCAGCATGTGGTAAAAAGATAAATTATTGGTATCTAATGGCTAAATGATAATAATTTATAAATGTTGTCTATATAGATTAGATTATAATCAGAATACTTCAAACACTAAAATTTTAGAACTTCAAAAATACTAGTTTTAAATCTTCATTTCCAGCAGAATGTCTAATGAAGTACCCTTACTGATTTTCCTATTATAAACAACTAAAAGAATGAATAAACTATTTTCATAAATGCATTTATCAGATAGCATGAAAGTAAGGAGTTCTGGCCAAGATATTAAAGCAAATGGAAAACCAGAGTGAAAAAATGAAACTGATCTTCACCTTGAGGGCAACTACCCAACTAGGTGACTGTGAGGGTTTATTTGCATGATCTCCTGGCAGAGGGACTGCAGACAAAGTGCAAAGCTACCCAATGTGCAGAGTGTTATAGAAAACCACCCCCAAGAAGCTACCTTTCCTCAGTAGAAGGATAAACAACTTCTTCATTCCCACCAACACCACCAGTAGGGACAGCAAAGCAAAATTGACTGTCTCATCTATGGCTTGATCCAAGAAACAAACAAAAGGTCTCCCTGAGAATCACTAGCCACAAGTTATCCTCAAACATGTTTATGTTTGTATCTTTAAGTTACATAATCTACCTACAAAGTTCAAAACCTCTTGAGCTGAGAATTCAATATAATATGATCCTGGATTGAAAGTATACAATGCTCTCTGGTAAAAATTCCTTCTGTAGGAATTTACTTCATCCTCAAAGAATTAGCACAGATAAAGGTTTAAAAACAAAGCAGCTCACTGGAAACACAGACACAAGAAAACAAAGCACCAAGAACAAGCAGAATTATAGAAGGCAAAATCATAAAGATGAAAAATATAAAAGATGTATAAGATATATAAGAGATACAGATGACTAAGAAAATCTAATGATCTGATAAAATTTCTAAAGGATGGGCAAAGAAAATGGGTCAGTGGCAATATGTGAAGAGATAAGAACTTTCTAAAACTGAAGTAAGACACAAAGCCATAGATTTAAGAAACTTGTCAGGTGTGGTAGTGTTAGGTAATAGCTAGCAATGAGCTGTAACATGTATGTCAAGGTCACAGGTTTACTTTAAGTTATTCTTAAAAGTTTTCAATAAGTTACTGCCAAGACAGATGAGTAAATAATTTGTTCCACACAACCTGCAGAAAAACATTAGTACACAAATCTTGAGAACAAACAGATAAAAGTAAAAGAGCTATAATGGGGGTTGGAGAGCTCAAGAAAGAAGGATTTAAGGGACTAACTCTCAACAGGGTCAAGATAAAACTAAGTTATGGTGCCAAATGTCTCCTACTAGTTCAGAAGGGAGTGTGTGTGTGTGTGTGTGGAATGGTGGGGTGGGAAGTTTCTTTAGTGGACACAGGTGCACTGAGGTAACTTCTGACCAGCTGTTGACCCACCTGATGTGAAAGAGATGTTGAACACCTGATTGGCAAAGAGTACAAAAGTGTCCCCAGTTCTGATAAATGCCAAACAGTAATAATTTGGTGACAGCATTGTCTATTTTGTCATTCTCTGTTTGAGCCTTACTTGGTTTTCACTTTATTTTCACCTTCACTTCCATTCTATTGTCACTTATAATAAAGTTCTCTTGCATGGCTTTTGGTGCCTGACTTTAAAATTTTTTTGTGTGGGAACACAAGAACTGAGGTTTGGAGTTTTAGCTCCTTGCTTTCCTGTGACTGTGGCCAGCAACTCGGGAGGCTGAGGCAGGAGAATTATAAGTTCCAGACTAGCTTCAGCCAGGACCCTCAACAAAATAAAAAAATAAAAGGGCTGGATTATAGCTCAGTGGTTAAGCTCCCCTGGGTCAATTCCTGATATCAAAAATAAATAAGTAGTACTCAACATGGCAGCGGGCAGGGAGGCAGCACTTTCAGTACCTCCTCAACTGCGTGGACAGAGAGATGCATATGTACGTTTAGATTCTACCTGCTGAGAAACTCCCAGCAAAATTCTGCTGAAGTGAGACCTGCTGGGGAATTGGGGATTACTGGAGGTGACAGCTTGCCCCAGATGGGTGAATTTCGGCCACTCAGCGTGGAGGTCCGGACCGTTCTGTGCCGCCGCTGCCTGGCAACCAGCACAGTAGGAGGTGGTTCAGCACTGCGCGGCAGAGAGATCCTATGAAGAGGTTGCTAACAAAGCCTTCATGAAAAAGCAAACCAGAACTGAATCCGAGACTGGGACAGACCAGAGACAGGCCAGACCCACCCCTTCCATCGGACACTCTGGCAAGGAGTCTGGGGCCCGCCATAGCAGAGAGCTGACATCACCAGAGTTCAGCAGATGGGATCCCTTCCCAGCGGAATCGGCTTTAGCAGGTGTGTGACTCCCACCCCTACCAGATACATACAGGTGGGAAACGTCAAAAATCTTGCCCCAGAGTTCCATGGGCTTGACTATAGGGGCCTAGGGAAGCAGAGGGGACTCCCCACCCCCAACTACCCCTACTGCCAGCGGCGTGGGCGTGACTGTAGGAGCCGAGGGAAGCAGAGGGGACTCCCGATCCCCAACTCCCCCTACCACCAGCGGCGACACCCAAGGCCTTAGCTGCCAGCTCCCAGGGGCATGGCCACCAAAGGGGTCCAGGCAAATTAAACTGTCGGTTCCCAGATCACCGCTCCACAACCCTGGGGTCAGGATGAATGACATAGCGAGTGCTCAGTAGTTCGGGAAATAGGGCACGCAGTGGGGCTGCAAGTGTAACCAGATCCTTGGAGATCGCCTCCGGTGAGCGGGGCCTGGCTGGCTGGCTGGCAGGAGGAAGAGGGGAGGGGCCGGAGAAGAAAAACAGCTCTGGACTAACAGGACTAGAGAGACGACCAGTAGGGGAAGGAGTTGCCTTATTGGGATTGCTGTCGGCAAATAGAGGGCAGAAGCTCCACCTACTGGAAGAGAAGAAAATAGATCTCTAAGACTTCATTTATCTTTTTTTTCTCCTTCTTTCTTTTCCCTTTTCAATTTTTGTTGTTCTTTCCATTCTCCTCTATTCTACCTATTTATCTCTCCCTCTTTCTCTTTAAGGACTCCTTCCTTCCCCTTCCCCCTAACTTTCATCCCAAGCATTACAACTTTCATTACGTGTAATTTTCTAAATGCAAATAGGTGATTGTTTCGAGGCTGTCTATAGGGCTCCTAAATACCTAGCTATTACCAAATACCCTGATCCATTCGCCTGTTAATATCCCCCTTCAGTAGAGCAATCTTCCAAAGTAGCCAAGACATACTAACCTTCATACCATCATAGCACCCAACCTAAACATAAAGTCCTAAGAGCAAACAACAGATCACTATATACCTACAGAATCCGTGAACCTTTTATGAATCAAGTGAATCAGCTTTAAATTACAATAAAGCCCAACATCTCTAGGCATAGTCTCCCACCACAAAGGAGAGACCACAGAGACATACAAAACCAAAACAAATTTATAGGAGAAAACAGAAACACAGCAGTTAAACACAGTTGGAAAGTAACGTGAACACCATAAAAAAAAACAAGGGAAAAAAGGATTACAAACAATGCAGGACAACTTAAATTTACAGGAGAACTGAGAGGCATCAGAAAAATGGACAGAGAAAGAACTCAAGGCATACCAAATGGAATGGAATCTTAAAGAAGTCATTAGACAGCAAGTCCAAACAATGAAAGAATATTTTGAAAATGAATTGCATAAGCAGATTCAAGAAGCAAAAAAGAACTCTACCACGAGAAAGATTTAAAAAAAAATCAAACAGTAATCCTAGAAATACAGGAAATCATAAACCAAATCAAAAACTCAAATGAGAATATTACAAATAGACTAGATCAAACAGAAATCAGAACATCAGATAATGAAGACAAAGATTATCAACTCGAAAAGTATATAGTCAACGCAGAAAGGCTGGTAAGAAACCATGAGCAAAATATCCAAGACATATGGGATGTCATAAAAAAACCAAACTTAAGAGTCATTGGGATAGAAGAAGGTATAGAGATCCAAACCAAAGGATTGAACGATCTGTTGAATGAAATAATCTTAGAAAACTTTCCAGATATGAAAGATGGAATGGATTGCCAAATCCTGGAAGCCTACAGGACCCCAAACATACAAAACCATAATAGACCAACTCCAAGACACATTATTATGAAGATATCCAACATACAGAACAAGGAGAGAATATTAAAAGCTACAAGAGAAAGTAGGCAGATTACATTCAGGGGCAAACCAATTAAGTTAACGGCTGATTTTTAATCACAGACGTTGAAAGCGAGAAGATCCTGGAACATATTTCAAACGCTGAAAAATAATGG